TAAACTTAAATAACTATTGAAATTCGTTCAATAATTTTAATACTTTAACCCGATCTATTGAATTTTGATTACATTTTTTTTAAATGCATGTATAAAAAATATATATATAATTTTAATGAATATTTTAGCTTGAGCTAATTATAATCTATATTAATATTATAAAGGGGCAAAATTTTCTAACTTTCTATATAAGGGGTAACTTCTAAAACTACTAATCTGAAAATTCTGCCGGATGTTATTTTTCATTGGTCAGAAATCATAATAACATTAATTGACGTGGGAAAACTGTCCCCTTGAATTTACTTTATTGGCTTACACTACTTAAATGGTTTGAAATAAACTAATAAAATGTATGGCAAAAAGAAAAAACGACAAATATAGGGACGCACACTAGGGACCACCACAAAGCGAGGGTGAGTCTAGTTTTCTTAATCTACTGGATAAAAAGTACCCTATTATTTACACAAGACATTCCAATTTTAAAAGATACAGATTATTTCCCAAAGCTATTCATTTCCTTTATAAAATAATACAGATTATATAAACTAGCGTTATATCTAGAAAAACACAAACAGATTTATTCCGGGAAACCTTCATTTTTTCGGGATAAAAAGTAACCTGTTGCTTGACCGGCAATAAAGGTATCAGCATGCCAAATTCTACTAAATTAGGTGCGTAGGTTGTTGTGTACTAAGCTGCATAAGTTACTATAGTTTTTTAGCTATCCCTCGGTAACTCTTTAATTTTCCGGGATGAAAAGATTCTAAAATGTTGACTGAGGATATAAGGATATTACCATGCTAAATTTCATTTAAATCAGTCCAACAGTTTTGGAGATCAACCCGTAATAACAGACAAACAGACAGAGAAACAAAAAAAATGACAAAATCTGGATTTATTCTATTTCTCTTCTTACATTCCCCTGACTCGGTTTCTAGCATATTATTTTCTATGTACAGACATTCGACCTCTACAGTTTTATAAAAGTATAAAGAATAGAAAACACTTGTCTATAGGGGAAATAAAGCAAGAAATTCCCACAATATACGAGAATCATATTCATGAACCAGTCATTTACAAATCAAGAGTGTACTTTTGATTCTATATTTTTTACTTGTTTCGGACGATGAATTAATTTTAAATTATATGTTTTGAAGGATTCGTCTGAAGATGCCACCACTAGAATCGTTGCTAGAGCTTTCAAACAAACTCATTTTCAGGATCCTTTGATCACTTTTCGCAAAAAAAGTCCATAATGGTTACTTTCAAAATGTATAATTTTACACAGACATTTATCTAGCTTTTTAATATAGGCGATAAGTTCTATTTAATATTTAAGACGATACTGTCTACGATGAAATCTTAAAACAATACAAGTTAAAACACGTTATGAAGACAGAGGGCGATGTTCAGCATTAAAGCAAGTATTTTTTTATTATTATCTAACTGATCCGGCAGACATTTTCCGTCCAAATTTTTATGAAGTTTATAATTTTTGAGTCAATACAGAAACAAAATTTACATAGAAAAACAAACACTTTCATTTTTCGGAATTTTCTAACTTTCCTTGTAACTTTTCCATGTTTACTCTAAAAACCTTAATCAGACTATATGAACAATTAGGAACAATTTAAAAAAAAATAGCTAGAACGTTCTAGGCATGCTTAAATCATGCACGTAATGTCCAAGGTTTGTTTTTTTCTTTATATAGAATGACTAGCATTGCCCGCGCTCCCACCCGCGTTCAGATGACCAAAAACCAAATTCTTAGGTTTTACATATTAGTATACTCTTACATCGCAGTTTTTGTAATATTCTCAGAAATGAGATATTTTCCCGTGGTAAAAAGTGTCCTTAATGTTGATCCGGATAACCAGCTATCATCATACCAAATTCCATCAAAATCTGTCCAGTGGTTTTCTCGTGATGCGGTAACAGACAGACAGACAGACACATAGACAAAAATTCTAAAAACTATAGATTCGGACTTTGTATCGATAATAGTGCCTATTTTAATTAGATTTTCCAAAAAATATTTAATGTACAAATTCGACTTAGTAACAATTTTATTATATGTATAGAGACGTCTCCTGAATTGTCTATCAATTTTATTTAACTTTAATTACAACTACCATAATATCCTATCCCGAAGGATCAGTTATTATTTTCGATTTAATTCAATTTTCTCGTAAATGGCTGTAAAACGTGCCAGTTGAGCACAGATTACTTTGCTAATATCACGTAGAACAGATATAGTTTTATCCAGGTCTATTTGGATAACGAGGGATCGTGAGAGCTCGTGATGTAATTTTAACGAATACATTTAAGATACAAGGTGTGTTATGATCAAACGAAGGGTCAGGCAATTAGAAATGTATTTCAAACTAGCATTACCCACAGCTCCGCCCGCGTTCAGATGACCAAAAACCAAATTTTTAGGTTTTACATATTAGTATACTCTTACAATGCAGTTTTTGTATTTTTTCTCAGGAATGAGATTTTCCCGCGGTAAAAAGTATCCTGTATGTTGACCCGGATAAGGAGGCTATCACCTTACCAAATTTCATCAAAATCCATCCAGTGATTTTTCTGTGATGCGGTAACAGACAGACAGACAAACAAAAATTCTAAAAATTATAAATTGGGTCTCTGTATCGATAATAATGTTTATTTCAATAAGATTTTCCAAAAAATATTTAATGTACAGATTCGGCTTAGTTACAATTTTATTATATATATAGTTTACATTATTCATCAATTACAGCACAAAAAAGAACCTACAGGTTAAATAATAACAGCAAAGGACACATAATATATTTTTATAGTAATATATGTGGGTAGTTAAATATTTACAGCATAGCGGCACTTCAAAATATGAATAATTCAATACATGCGGCTGATTCTGTGTAAAAAATAGTTTCACTTCCCAATTCAATTATTTTTGATGATAGCATCGAATATTTGAATGTGGTAGTTATAATTATATTAAATTTGTCTATTATCTGTATATCCTGAAGTTCAAACTGTTGTATCTGCTTCTAAATGTTTAAAAATTAGTAAGTAGATTTCCTTTTTTTTATGATTCTGTCCATAAAATGCCTTATCTATACTAATATTATAAAGAGACAGAGTTTGTTTGTTTGTTTGTTTGTTTGTTTGTTTGTTTGCGCTAATCTCAGAAATTACTAATCCAATTTAAAAAAATCTTTTTGCTATATCTAATCTATAGGCTATATATCATCGTGCTACTTAGGGAGCAAGCAGTAATCATAAATGTCAACAAATCATACATTATTGGGCAGACTTCCATACATTATTGTAAAACTAGAAGTTGAAACGCGGGCGAAGCCGCGGGTATTGCTAGTTTAAACATATAAGGAGTAATGCACGATTTAAAAGACAGAAAAATACTATACCGATAAAGAAAAATAATATAATGATTCAGAAAAAAATAATCAAAATTTTATTACATTCATCTATCTAACAATTGAATTAAGTACACATATAGTTGAGATTTAGTTTTGATTCTAAGAGATGATATTTTAAAGTCAAAAAATGTACTGTACCTATAATATTTCTCATTAACATTTTTAAACCAGCGGAATAAGTTACACTCTGCAAAGCAGCGTGATTTTTGCTTAAATATTAGTTATGGATAAAAGTATGTATATTATTTTTAATGTAAATTAAATTGTACTTTTTTTATCTGGTGTAATAAAGGATTAAATAAATAAATTATAACACAACCGAGTTAGTTAAGGTACTTTAGCTATCTACTTACCTAGATACGTATTAACGAACAATATGGAATAGATAGACTATATTATATAATATGACAGGTATATCTTTATGATTCCCCTGTAAACGGGCTATGTAATGCAAAAAGAATATTTCAAATCGGATTATTAATTCCTGAGATTAGCGTGTTCAAACAAACAAATTCTGCCTCTTTATAATATTAGTACAGATGTATATTATGAAATTAAATATAAAAAATAAAAGTGTATAAAAAATAAAAATCAAAAATATCTTACATCTCGTCTGCAATTATTATAAGCAAAGACCGTGCCGTAGCTATAATTCACTGGGATAATAAAAATAAACAATAGCAAGAAACTCTCAAGTTATCATAGATTTCGAGTTGTTGACAATGCATTCGATTGCTCTCAGACTACAAATAAATTGTCATAATAATTTATATTATAGCATTGAAAATCTTTTACAATAGGAATTACAAATTTTTCTAGTATTAAAGGAACATATTCTAAAGTTAATGGTACATTTTAGCTTTAAATATCTCAATTAGGTTTATTTTCTATACAGTATATTTGTATATGAGAGAATATGCTACCAATTAGGTATCTACGAAGTTTTCTTGTTTTGCCTTTTGTTACAGGGCTATGTAATTGCTCATCTATACTAATATTATAAAGAGGTAAAGGTTTGTGACGTTGTAGGGGGTATCTCTGGATCTACTGAACCGATTTAGATGAAATTTGGTAAGAAGATAGTTTGAGACCCTGGGAAGTATATAGGACTTTCTATTCCGAAAATCATCCCTTAAGGGAGTAAAAATGGGGATTAAATTTTGTGAGTCGCTAGTTTTTTTAAAGGGGCTGAATACATACATACATATATAAAAAGATTCATAACTATTTATCATACCAAATTTAACTCCTTTATCAAAGATGTCTTTAAACAATCAGAAAATATACGAACTGAAGTTGACTAGAAATTAACATATATTTTTTTTACAATATTTAATCCCTCCACAATCGCGGTCACGCCGGCGTTACAGTTAACAATAGATTTCTTAGAAATTTAATAATTTCTTAGAAATTTACCTGGAGGTGTTAATCCATAATTATAATATGTATCCATTGTGTTGTTTATACGTTGAAACAGCTAATATAACATTTACTGACTCTGAGATAAACACATTTTCCTATATTAACTAAAATCCCAGGAAAGAAAAATGCCAGAAGGCTTCGCGACAATTAATGTCAGCATCTTGTATAAGCTGTAAGATGTGCGAAAAAGTTGAATACCAGAGTGGAAATACAAAGGCAGATACAAGCATTTCTTATATAACGAGAACTAAGGTTTTTTTGGCTGATATGGGATGATAACTAAGCCTTTTGCTACGTCTTTAATATTTTTTAATTATAATTTTTTGCATTAATTTTCTAGGTCTTTCCTGAAAGGCCGGCAATGCATTTGCAAGCCCTGCGGTGTTGCAGATGTCCATGGGTGGCGATGATCACTCCCCATCAGGTGAGCCTCCTGTCCGTTTGCCCCCTTAGTCCCATAAAAAAAAGGTAATAAAGTAAAAACGTGGAAAGATATAAAATGCCAGCCGATACAAAGCAAAGCACACCGACTTCGAAAATATTTGCTTAGGTATGTATAGTAAATGAAAACTACCAATCAGTTATTTTTTACTTTTTACTGCTTTTGTTTGAAGTCGGTTTTTATTTTTTTGTTAAAAGGTTTTTATTTGGTTAAACTTATTTATTAAAAGATTTTGATTTTTATTCTCGATACGAAATGGGGTTGCTCTAAAAATTGTTTGATTAATGAGAGAATGATGAGATAATTGGTTATATTTAACCAATATCTATAATAATCTTTTAATATTACAGCCAGAATATTTTACCTTCGAGATTACCTTCCACGAAGACTTTGCGGCGCTGTTGAACGAGATGTCTTCTGCTGATTGAGTCACGACCTGCGTTGTGGCTGCGGCAGAGACCCGGCGTCTTGCTGTAACTTTTTGGATTGCTTGTGATTTCATATTACTCGTACTAACATTGTTAGCCGGATTTATCAAACTCACGCTGAATTTCAATATGTTGTCTTAGACTAAGATAATTATTTAGTCATTACTAATAATTTGTGTCATCTTAGAGCCAAAATAAAAAAATTGTTACGTCTAAGAATCGAACTCAAGATCTCCGCCAAAGTAAGACGGTTAAATACGAGTATATCAGATTGAGCTATAAAGATTGCATATATGACGAGGAAAATATGTTACCGCGTTACGTCCTATAAAATATAAGCGGGCAATCTGCCTACTTGTTTACCCTTTTGATAACATCTCAAAGGACGTTCATACATTTATACTCGCGAGAATAAAGTTCACATTGCACTGAACAGGTGTTATATTTTATTAACCCGATTTGTCACGCAGTTAGCGTCTTTCAAAGTAACTGATGCCCTCATATATTAACTTGAATGAAAGCGTTTCTTATTGTTTCAAAATTGTGATTCATATGCATAAGGTGAATATTTGTATGCAGTTTTTTCTTGTGTAATTCTTAGTAATATTGTAAATTACTGCCTCGGTGGTATAGTGGCTAGCATGTACGGCGCTGCACACCCGGAGGTCCTGGGTTCGAGTCCCGGGTCGGGCTAAGTTTAGTTATTGAGTCTTTCTGTAAAGTAAGCCTCAGTAACAGCCCGGAGTTGGGAAGTTGGCGGTGTTTCACCCCCGTGCCTCGGAGAGCACGTAAAGCCGTCGGTCCTGCGCCTTAACTCTCACTGGTCGTGTCGAGCAGTCGTCCCACCGGAGTATGAGAGTGACAGGAACAGAGAGTGCACGTTGTGTCTGTGCGTACACTTGTGCACTATAATATCTCCTGCGCAGTTGGCTAGTCTCAATGAGATTGGCCGCCGTGGCCGGAATCGGTCAGGAGAACATTATCATCAATATTGTAAATGTAAGAGTGCGTATGATTTTGCTTATAGTCTACGAGAGCTCTCATTTGGCAGATGTCGTCATACCATACATCTAATTTTTTTTCTATAAATTAAAATTGTAACTAAATCGAATTTGTACATTAAATATTTTTTCTAAAATCTTATTGAAATAAACATTATTATCGATACAGAGGCCAAATCTATAGTTTTTAGAATTTTTGTCTGTCTGTCTGCCTATTACCGCATCACAGAAAAACCACTGGAGGGATTTTGATGAAAGGTATGTTGATAGCTGGTTATCCGGTTCAACATATAGGATTCTTTTTACCGCGGGGAAATATCTCATTTCTAAGAAAAAATACAAAAACTACAATGTAAGAGTATATTAATATGTAAAACCTAAGAATTTGGTTTTTGGTTATCTACGCGGGCGGAGCCGCGGGAAATGCTAGTTCTTAAATAAATTTTAAGATAAATTTTATTTCTTGCTAGAGATTTCATTAAAAAATATATTTAAAAAATCATTAAAAATTAAGAATTACTCACATCGAAATTTACGAAGAATAAAATATTTTTTGTCCTTTAAAGGACTCGAATCAATAACATTCACAGCTAACAAACTATCCTTGCATATACATATATTTGTATGTAATGTATACAGCATCAGACTGACCGGTAAATTAAAGTATTTTTTCGTTTTCTCTAGCGGAACATATTATAAATATTTTATTATTTTAGAATCGTTTTTCAGCGACAAACAATGTCCTCACCGTATGAGCGCTCATCTAAACATTTGAGCGCGCTTTTAATTTTTTTTTGTGAAAACAACTTTAAAAGCATTACATCTAAGGTTTAATTTACATTGTTATATATTTATTTCAACTAGAATAATTACACAAACACAATTGGTGACAGTTTCAACAGAACTTTTGCATGGGATTGTGTGTACTGTATATATATGTATGTGTAATACTTTTTTGATCGATGGTTTTAAGTGAAAAATATTTGCTCTATCTAGTGAAAGAGAAATTAAAATGAAAAATCATTAAAAAATTAAAAAATGAGGATAGTATAAATCTCATTAAAAAATGAGGATAGTATAAATCTCTAAACTTTAAATATATAAGTTAACAGATAAACGATTTTTAAATCCAGATAATGTTGGTGATGAAAATTTTGAAATGAATGTGAACCGTAAAAGTTCGTAAAGTGCTAAACTTTGAAGTTTTATTTTCAACAAGTGGACGCAAAAACTTGTTGTTAGATTTACTTTTTTCGCATAATTTTGAATAATTTAAGCAAACTATTACTGTAACAGCTTTAAGTTTTGCTAGCGACTTACCCTCGGATTTTTGCATCTTTAAGTGCCTAACAGTTGCCTATGAGTTATTCCAGATCATAGTCTATCTTTATACTAAATTTTAATAAAAATCGCTCTAGCTGTTTCAGCGCCAAGGAGTAACAAAGATACACACACGTAGACAATTTCATATTTATATGAGTAGTATAAATTTAGAGTTCTATACCGCAGTAAGCTAATCGTTATTGGAGAAACGAAAAAAAAAACTTACTTGAATTATAAATGTGAAAGTTTAGATGTTTGAATGTTTGGACGTTTGTTACTCGATCACGCAAAAACGGCTTAACGGATTGGGATGAAATTTAGCATAGAGATAGATTGTAGTTTGAAATAGCACATAGGTTACTTTTTCTCCCTGAAAAATGTACGGTTCCCATGGGATAGATTTGTTTTTGTTTCAAGTTGAAGTGAGAGTTTTTGCCGGATGTTTTTCCTTTTTGGTTCCCGACATTTCAAATGCTTTACAGCAATTATAGTCACGAGAGACTAAAGGTTTAGGCGTATCAAAGGTAATAATTTAAAATAACATATCTCATAAATGAACCTCTAAGCAAGTTTTAAATGGTAAAAATCTTAATATGTCACTGCTTTATTATGAAGTTATATTTTGATAATATTTTACTTTAACACAAAATATGCCCGTGTAGTTGTGAGTTTTTTTTTCATTTTTTATTTCGTCAATCATATAAGCAACTAGCGGCTCACCCTCACTTCGCTCAGGTTCGTTCGTAGGTTGCTTCCTCATACAAACTTTCATCCTCATTTTCACCCACAAAGGGATGATTTCCGGGATAAAAACTATCCTATGTCCTTCCCAGGGTCTCAAACTATCTTCTTACCAAATATCTAAATCAGTTCAGTGGTCATAAAGCCTATTCGGTACAAACAATAAGAAAAATCTTTCGTCTTTATAATATGATATTTACAAATTTTATCTCTATCAGTACTTGTGACGTTGAAAATATAATTTATTTTTATAAGATTAATATTAAGTAGGTCAAATAAACAGCTGCTGATGATATATCATCTAAAAGTACATACAAACGAATATAGAACCTCTTTCTTTTTGGAAGTCATTTAAAAATAGCATAAACGCTGTGAACGCTGCCTAAAGGCACAGGCGAAGGACGAAGTATTTCCTTCGACTTTTCAGATAAAAACTGTGACAACTCGGCAAAGCGCTCTGGAATAATATAGCGAATACTGAAAGATTTCTTAAAATCAGTTCAAAAGCTTCAAAAAAATATATCAATTACAACCAAACAGACAAACCTTTTCTCTTTGTAATAGATTTTGGTTAATGCCAAAAATTATATATGAAGTTTTTATTCCAGTGGTTTCATGAAACTTTCAACACCTAGCGGTTCGATAGGGTTATAAATTCTATTTTCCCTGTAACGACATTTTTGATGTTTGTGTGAATATATTGTCATAAAATATTTATGACAAGTATGGTGAATCTGCCATAAACTTAAATAACGTAAATATTTTTCTAGTTCTCTATGTCAATACTTTACGATTATTCAAATAGTTAAAAAGAAAAATCGCTAGAAGACATTGATTACGATAGTTTGTTCACACTTTATTAGTAAATAAGGTATTTTTTTGGCTAATACGTTTGGCTTATTTTGTAATGCTGTGCCAGCGGTCGCGGGTTCGAGTCCCGCTGGGGTTTTCATTTGTGTGATGAGCACGAATGTTTGTACTCGAGTCATGAGTGTTTATATTTATAATAAGTAAGTATTTTAAGTTATTAACTGCCTCGGTGGTGTAGTGGTGGTGTGTGCCTCGGAGAGCATGTACGGCTGCATACTCGGAGGTCCTGGGTTTGAGTCCCGGGTCGGGCCAAGTTTAGTTATTAAGTCTTTCTGTACAATAAGTTTCAGTAACAGCCCGGAGTTGGGAAGTTGGCGGTGTTTCACCCCCGTGCCTCGGAGAGCACGTAAAGCCGTCGGTCCTGCGCCTTAACTCTCACTGGTCGTGTCTCGTGTCATCCCACCAGAGTATGAGAGTGATAGGAATAGAGAGTGCATTTGTGTCTGCGCGTACACTTGTTCACTATAATATCTCCTGCGCAGTTGGCTAGTCTCAATGAGATTGGCCGCCGTAGGAGAACATCAGAATCAGATTTAAAGTTATATATGTGTATTGTATCAACTGTTTGGTATCCCTAACCCAAGCTTATAGCTTACCGTGGAACTAGATGGTGCTGTGTATTATTGTCCCAACATATTTATTTATTTATAGTACAGAAAATTAGTCAAATTTCATTCTTAGGATTTTAAAGTTTACAGTAATGGGTTTCTTGTAAATATAACATTAGTATTAAAGGTTAGTGCTATTTAATTCAAAACTGTGATCCCTTCATGTTGAAATATATAATACTAGAGATAGAAGTGATTATAATTCTAGAATCTAGATTAAAAAAAATATATGAAAATTCTATCATTTTATGAAAAATCTTGATACATTTGCCTCTAAACCATTAGTGTCTTCAATATTTGGTCAAAAAATAAAAAAAAAAACTTCAAGAAGTTAAGAATTTTCCAATTCCGAAATGGATTCTATTTTGGTACTTCGCCTGTTAAAAGATGTATTATTACCTACATATATATACCAAGGTATTTATACAAGACATTACATATATGTATATTTACA